ACCTGTTTTTCATGCACTGTGATTTAAGAAAAATGATGCATATTAACACTAGAATGGAAGAAGTACAACATGTTCTCTACTGAGAAAGTGAAACGCTAATTAATTCTGAGTAGTCTAATATTGAACGTCATCTCATGGGAAACATTTGGTAAATGTAATTAATATATTTTAATACTGTCATTAAGCATCTATCTTTCTATAAACTAAGTAAGTTAGAAAAATTCTTTATATTATCCTGCCAAAAGCCATAACCTACGGCTATAATTTGTTAATATCAGCTTTGATTAGTTTATTTGCTTGGTTAATTCCACACTGAATCAAATAAAACTTTCTTTCATTACAAATTATATGTATAGCAGCTGACTCGAAACGTAAACATGCGGTTCTTAATATTATGCGACATAATAATGTTTATTTACAAGAAATATATACATTCAGATACAATAAAATACAATAGGAAATAAACAAGAAATGTGGCAATGTGACTTTTGTGCAGCCCGAATTACATATTATCAATATGGTGGATTGAATGACAATTATACAAGGATAAGATAAATAAAAATAAAAAACAAACAAATGTGTTCTGAAATTTTAAAGTTTATAAATCTATTAGTTTTGGAATTAGGGACGAAACAAAGGTTCCAATTTCAACTTTAACAAGTAGGAATTTAACTTTGACACTCTCTATCTTTAACAGCTGTTAATATTTAAGAATTTTGTTTGCAAAATAATTTTTCTACACTCTTTATAAATGTGTTCTGAAATTTTAAAGTTCATAAATATATTAGTTTTGGAATTAGGGACGAAACAAAGGTTCCAATTTCAACTTTAACAAGTAGGAATTAAACTTTGATACTCTTTATCTTTAACAGCTGTTGATATTTAAGAATTTTGTTTGCAGAATAATCTTTCTACACTCTTTATAAATGTGTTCTGAAATTTTGAAGTTTATAAATCTATTAGTTTTGGAATTAGGGACGAAACAAAGGTTCCAATTTCAACTTTAACAAGTAGGAATTTAACTTTGACACTCTCTATCTTTAACAGCTGTTAATATTTAAGAATTTTGTTTGCAAAATAATTTTTCTAGATTCTTTATAAATGTGTTCTGAAATTTTAAAGTTCATAAATCTATTAGTTTTAGAATTAGGGACGTAACAAAGGTTCCAATTTCAACTTTAACAAGTAGGAATTTAACTTTGATACTCTCTATCTTTAACAGCTGTTTATATTTAATAATTTTGTTAGCAGAATAATTTTTCTACACTCTTTATAAATGTGTTCTGAAATTTTAAAGTTTATAAATTTATTAGTTTTGGAATTAGGGACGAAACAAAGGTTCCAATTTCAACTTTAATAAGTAGGAATTTAACTTTGATACTCTCTATCTTTAACAGCTGTTAATATTTAAGAATTTTGTTTGCAAAATAATCTTTCTACACTCTTTATAAATGTGTTCTAAAATTTTAAAGTTTATAAATTTATTAGTTTTGGAATTAGGGACGAAACAAAGGTTCCAATTTCAACTTTAACAAGTAGGAATTAAACTTTGATACTCTTTATCTTTAACAGCTGTTGATATTTAAGAATTTTGTTTGCAGAATAATCTTTCTACACTCTTTATAAATGTGTTCTGAAATTTTGAAGTTTGTAAATCTATTAGTTTTGGAATTAGGGACGAAACAAAGGTTCCAATTTCAACTTTAACAAGTAGGAATTTAACTTTGACACTCTCTATCTTTAACAGCTGTTAATATTTAAGAATTTTGTTTGCAAAATAATTTTTCTACACTCTTTATAAATGTGTTCTGAAATTTTAAAGTTCATAAATATATTAGTTTTGGAATTAGGGACGAAACAAAGGTTCCAATTTCAACTTTAACAAGTAGGAATTTAACTTTGACACTCTCTATCTTTAACAGCTGTTAATATTTAAGAATTTTGTTTGCAAAATAATTTTTCTAGATTCTTTATAAATGTGTTCTGAAATTTTAAAGTTCATAAATCTATTAGTTTTAGAATTAGGGACGTAACAAAGGTTCCAATTTCAACTTTAACAAGTAGGAATTTAACTTTGATACTCTCTATCTTTAACAGCTGTTTATATTTAATAATTTTGTTAGCAGAATAATTTTTCTACACTCTTTATAAATGTGTTCTGAAATTTTAAAGTTTATAAATTTATTAGTTTTGGAATTAGGGACGAAACAAAGGTTCCAATTTCAACTTTAATAAGTAGGAATTTAACTTTGATACTCTCTATCTTTAACAGCTGTTAATATTTAAGAATTTTGTTTGCAAAATAATCTTTCTACACTCTTTATAAATGTGTTCTAAAATTTTAAAGTTTATAAATTTATTAGTTTTGGAATTAGGGACGAAACAAAGGTTCCAATTTCAACTTTAACAAGTAGGAATTAAACTTTGATACTCTTTATCTTTAACAGCTGTTGATATTTAAGAATTTTGTTTGCAAAATAATTTTTCTACATTCTTTATAAATGTGTTCTGAAATTTTAAAGTTCATAAATCTATTAGTTTTAGAATTAGGGACGTAACAAAGGTTCCAATTTCAACTTTAACAAGTAGGAATTTAACTTTGATACTCTCTATCTTTAACAGCTGTTTATATTTAATAATTTTGTTAGCAGAATAATTTTTCTACACTCTTTATAAATGTGTTCTGAAATTTTAAAGTTTATAAATTTATTAGTTTTGGAATTAGGGACGAAACAAAGGTTCCAATTTCAACTTTAATAAGTAGGAATTTAACTTTGATACTCTCTATCTTTAACAGCTGTTAATATTTAAGAATTTTGTTTGCAAAATAATCTTTCTACACTCTTTATAAATGTGTTCTAAAATTTTAAAGTTTATAAATTTATTAGTTTTGGAATTAGGGACGAAACAAAGGTTCCAATTTCAACTTTAACAAGTAGGAATTTAACTTTGACACTCTCTATCTTTAACAGCTGTTAATATTTAAGAATTTTGTTTGCAAAATAATTTTTCTACACTCTTTATAAATGTGTTCTGAAATTTTAAAGTTCATAAATATATTAGTTTTGGAATTAGGGACGAAACAAAAGTTCCAATTTCAACTTTAACAAGTAGGAATTAAACTTTGATACTCTTTATCTTTAACAGCTGTTGATATTTAAGAATTTTGTTTGCAGAATAATCTTTCTACACTCTTTATAAATGTGTTCTGAAATTTTGAAGTTTATAAATCTATTAGTTTTGGAATTAGGGACGAAACAAAGGTTCCAATTTCAACTTTAACAAGTAGGAATTTAACTTTGACACTCTCTATCTTTAACAGCTGTTAATATTTAAGAATTTTGTTTGCAAAATAATTTTTCTAGATTCTTTATAAATGTGTTCTGAAATTTTAAAGTTCATAAATCTATTAGTTTTAGAATTAGGGACGTAACAAAGGTTCCAATTTCAACTTTAACAAGTAGGAATTTAACTTTGATACTCTCTATCTTTAACAGCTGTTTATATTTAATAATTTTGTTAGCAGAATAATTTTTCTACACTCTTTATAAATGTGTTCTGAAATTTTAAAGTTTATAAATTTATTAGTTTTGGAATTAGGGACGAAACAAAGGTTCCAATTTCAACTTTAATAAGTAGGAATTTAACTTTGATACTCTCTATCTTTAACAGCTGTTAATATTTAAGAATTTTGTTTGCAAAATAATCTTTCTACACTCTTTATAAATGTGTTCTAAAATTTTAAAGTTTATAAATTTATTAGTTTTGGAATTAGGGACGAAACAAAGGTTCCAATTTCAACTTTAACAAGTAGGAATTTAACTTTGACACTCTCTATCTTTAACAGCTGTTAATATTTAAGAATTTTGTTTGCAAAATAATTTTTCTACACTCTTTATAAATGTGTTCTGAAATTTTAAAGTTCATAAATATATTAGTTTTGGAATTAGGGACGAAACAAAAGTTCCAATTTCAACTTTAACAAGTAGGAATTAAACTTTGATACTCTTTATCTTTAACAGCTGTTGATATTTAAGAATTTTGTTTGCAGAATAATCTTTCTACACTCTTTATAAATGTGTTCTGAAATTTTGAAGTTTATAAATCTATTAGTTTTGGAATTAGGGACGAAACAAAGGTTCCAATTTCAACTTTAACAAGTAGGAATTTAACTTTGACACTCTCTATCTTTAACAGCTGTTAATATTTAAGAATTTTGTTTGCAAAATAATTTTTCTAGATTCTTTGTAAATGTGTTCTAAAATTTTAAAGTTCATAAATCTATTAGTTTTGGAATTAGGGACGAAACAAAAGTTCCAATTTCAACTTTAACAAGTAGAAATTTAACTTTGATACTTTTTATCTTTAACAGCTGTTGATATTTAAGAATTTTGTTTGCAGAATAATCTTTCTACACTCTTTATAAATGTGTTCTGAAATTTTGGCTTGTTAAAACAACTAAAACAAAATTTATATGGTCCGATAGAAAAAAAGGTTGAATACAGCTAGTCTATATGAATTTTAAACAGACTAAATTATTTTTTAAAGTAGCTACATTATTCTATAAAATAGCTCTGTAATACTATCAATATATCAAAGATACATACTTTATTATATATTAGAATTATTGTTGTGGTCCAAAAACCATCAATAGATTTATATAATATACAGACTGTTCCATACAATCCTAGAAATATTCAGGATTTTCTCTAAACGCTAATATCAATAACATCTTAGCTAATGTTAAGTTTATTTATTTTAAAAAACAGTGTATTTGTTAATAATTTAAAATTCTGGTGGGGATCTAGAATGTTCTCGCCAAAACAATTAACATCACCACGTTCGTTCTCGAATAGTAATCGAAAGCGCCTACGCCATAGTCGTCATCACATATGTTTGGTCTTAAAGGATTTTAATTATGTATGATAATCGGACAAATTGAGAGGGATTTGAATAAATAAATGGCTCGCATTACACTATAATATATATAAATAACTTACCGTCTTTCCGATAATACAAAATCTCCGCGTGCTTTTCGACGCCATCTTGCAGGGCCTCCCTCAGATTCGAGACGGCCTGTTGTGACGTCAGCGGACCGCAAAGGAATTCGCAAGAGGCCGGCCGTTGCATGACGTCGGCCCTGGAATAGCCCGTCAATCGACAAAAGCCGTCCGAACAGTAAATTATGTGACATTGTCCCTCTCTGCTGTTTGCTACCAAAAATGAACGATCTGAAAAACAAGAAAACGCATATTTAAAATATTATCAAAGAGAAATATTGAAATATATTATGGCAAAATAACAAATAATATTAAAAATCACATATTTTATTTTTAATGAGGAAAAACATCCTAATAACATTGTTTGTAAATGATTTTAAACGTCGAAAAACGTCAAAAGCGCCAAAAACGTCAAAATACCGTAAAAAACGACAAAATACCGTCAAATACGTCAAAATACCGTCAAAACGTCGAAAAACGATGAAATGTGCATGCTTCTACTAGTGGAAATCTTAATTTATCTATTCTATTTATAATGAGGAAAAACATCCTAATAACATTGTTTGTAAATTATTTTAAACGTCGAAAAACGTCAAAAGCGTTAAAAACGTCAAAAACGTCAAAAAACCGTCAAAAAACGTCAAAATACCGTAAAAAACGTCAAAATACCGTCAAAACGTCGAAAAACGATGAAAGTGCATGCTTCTACTAGTGGAAATCTTAATTTATCCATTCTATTTATAATGAGGAAAAACATCCTAATAACATTGTTTGTAAATGATTTTAAACGTCGAAAAACGTCAAAAACGTCAAAATACCGTCAAAAAACGTCAAAATACCGTCAAAAACGTCAAAATACCGTCAAAACGTCAAAAAACGATGAAATGTGCATGCTTCTATAATTGTTTGTAAATGATTTTAAACGTCGAAAAACGTCAAAAACGTCAAAATACCGTCAAAAAACGTCAAAATACCGTCAAAACGTCAAAAAACGATGAAATGTGCATGCTTCTATAATTGTTTGTAAATGATTTTAAACGTCGAAAAACGTCAAAAACGTCAAAATACCGTCAAAAAACGTCAAAATACCGTCAAAAACGTCAAAATACCGTCAAAACGTCGAAAAACGATGAAATGTGCATGCTTCTACTAGTGGAAATCTTAATTTACCCATTCTATTTATAATGAGGAAAAACATCCTAATAACATTGTTTGTAAATGATTTTAAACGTCGAAAAACGTCAAAAGCGTCAAAAACGTCAAAAACGTCAAAATACCGTCAAAAAACGTCAAAATACCGTCAAAAACGTCAAAATACCGTCAAAACGTCAAAAAACGATGAAATGTGCATGCTTCTACTAGTGGAAATCTTAATTTATCCATTCTATTTATAATGAGGAAAAACATCCTAATAACATTGTTTGTAAATGATTTTAAACGCCGAAAAACGTCAAAAGCGCCAAAAACGTCAAAAACGTCAAAAACGTCAAAAACGTCAAAATACCGTCAAAAAACGTCAAAATACCGTCAAAAACGTCAAAATACCGTCAAAACGTCGAAAAACGATGAAATGTGCATGCTTCTACTAGTGGAAATCTTAATTTATCCATTCTATTTATAATGAGGAAAAACATCCTAATAACATTGTTTGTAAATGATTTTAAACGTCGAAAAACGTCAAAAGCGTTAAAAACGTCAAAAACGTCAAAAAACCGTCAAAAAACGTCAAAATACCGTAAAAAACGTCAAAATACCGTCAAAACGTCGAAAAACGATGAAAGTGCATGCTTCTACTAGTGGAAATCTTAATTTATCCATTCTATTTATAATGAGGAAAAACATCCTAATAACATTGTTTGTAAATGATTTTAAACGTCGAAAAACGTCAAAAGCGTTAAAAACGTCAAAAAACCGTCAAAAAACGTCAAAATACCGTAAAAAACGTCGAAAAACGATGAAAGTGCATGCTTCTACTAGTGGAAATCTTAATTTATCCATTCTATCTTCACCTGTATGTATTTTTATTCAAAATATATGTGCTCTATTTAGGGTTTTATAGAATGGGGTCTACGATACGTCTATGTGGCGTTTCAGTTGAAATATCACAAGTTTAATTTTGTCTAATTTTGCTATGATAAGTTAATTATTAGTTCTGCCCTGAAATTTGTTTTGAAATTTGGATACTGTTGAAATACGTGATTAAATTAATTAATCATCTCCCTTTAATTGGATACATGAAAGAGAGTTTGAATAAATTTGTTCCACTATGGTTGATAAATTTAAGATGTACCAAATAATCCACTATTGACGAAGTAAAACATAAAGGATGGAACTTTTTATAAAATGTGATGAAACCTTTGATAATGAGAGAGAGAGAGAGAGAGAGAGAGAGAGAGAGAGAGAGAGAGAGAGAGAGAGAGAGAGAGAGAGAGAGAGAGAGAGAGAGAGAGAGAAAGAGAGAGAGAGAGAGAGAGAGAGATGCTTTATTGTCGTAAAAAAATTTACAAAAATTTTATAGACAAAGCGTGTAACTTAAATACTAAACATATTATAAAAATAACTAAACAGCAGAAAAAACAAACAGAAACAAACAGACAAAATAGGAATAACAATTGCAATGGATATGCAATATCCGTCATTATAATTATTCTAATTTAATTTTTAAATTTAAATTTAAACTTTAATATTTAATTATTTAATTAATGCCATTGTATGTGGAACTCAAATGTCTAAGGTACGTTATAAAATTCTGCTACTGTGTAATATGGTCTTTCTAGAAGAAAAGCTTTAGCCAGTCTTCGGAACTTATCGTATGTATTTATAGATTTTAATTGCATCGGAAGGTTATTATACAATTTTTTGGCATTGTAGGTAATGGAATGTTTTAATAGGTCAGAAGTGGGCATTGTTAAATAAACATCAGTCTCTAAATTTCTTGTAAGATATCTACGAGTCGGTCTTTCGGATAAATTTTGAATGTGCTTGCGAACTAAGCAGACGGATTCGAAAATAAATAGAGCAGAAAGGGTTAGAATTTTGAAATTTTTGAAGTAATTTTCGCAATGTGTCCTACTACTTAAACCAAATACATAGCGGATTGCTCTTTTTTGCAGTTTAAAAATAGATTCGAAAAGGTATAAGCTACAAGAACCCCAGAAAGGTAAACCATAGCGAAGGAGAGATTCGAATAAGGAAAAGTAGGTTATTAATGCAGTAGAAGGAGTCATCTCTTTAGAAACCGATTTAATGGCAAAACATGCGGAGGATAATTTTTTTGCTAAGGTATCTATATGAGCAGACCATTTTAGAGAATCGTCTATATAAAGACCTAAAAACTTGATTGAAGTCACCGTTTGGATCAGATTATTGTTTAAAGTTATATGTTGTAAAGTACCTCTGTAAGACAATGCTACAGTTTTACTGGTGTTGAAACAAAGTCCATTCGAATCAGACCAGGACTTAATAGTCACTAGATCTTCACTTATGATAGATTGTAATGTCTGCATGTTAGAATTATTCCAGGTTACACTGGTGTCATCAGCAAATAAAGTAATTCTACCACTTATTCTTAAGTCTGTGATGTCGTTGATGAATAATAAAAACAAAATTGGACCTAATACTGATCCTTGAGGTACTCCACTGCTTATTGCTAGATTTGTAGAATCCTCACCATTCGCCCGCACCTGTTGATTTCTATTTTCTAGGTAAGTTTTAAACCATTGTAAAGGAGAACCCCGTATGCCATAAATTTGTAACTTATGAATTAAAATATCTAGATTTACACAATCGAAGGCCCTTGCGAAGTCACAAAATACTGAAGCGGTGAAAAGTTTATCATTAAGTGATGTGTATATTTCATTAAGAACGGAAAACATTGCGTCGCTAGTGCATTTTTTAGGTAGAAAGCCATACTGATGAGCTGTGAGGATGTTATGCTTGAAAAGAAAGGGCAAAAGACGGTTTTTCATTAGCGGTTCTACTATCTTCGATAAGGTAGGCAATAACGCGATAGGTCTATAGTTACAGGTTTTGGTTTTGTCGCCACCTTTATGAAGTGGGATTATTATAGCTGTTTTTAGACAGTTAGGAAAGAGACCAATTTCAAAGGATTCATTAATCAGTGAAGTTAAAATGTTGATTACTACATCCGGTATATTTAGAAATATTTTGGTGGACAGGCCATCAATTCCACAGGAAAATTTATTTTGGATGTTGTTTATGGTTTGCACTAGTTCATGCTTGCCTACTGGTCTAAGGAAGAAACTTTCGGTGATCCTTTTAGTAGGTAGGAGGAAGGAGAGAGCATCCTGATTCGGAGCTATGTTAGATTTGATATTTTTACTTACATTTACGAAATAATTGTTTAGTTCATCTGGGCTAGGATTTACACTGTTTGAAGAACGGGTTTTATTCCTTAAGTCATTTATTATAGACCAGGTTTCTTTGGAGGAGTTTTTTAGCTCTTGCGATGCGATTTTTGTAATAGTTTTTCTTAGCAGATTTGGTGATTTTCCGATACAATATTCTGTAGTTGTTGATATAGTTTAATATTAGGGGATTATCTGTGTACTTTTTAATATACTTGAGTGACCTCATATTTTTAGATGATGTTCTTATTTCTTTAGTTGTCCAAGATTTATGACATTTAGTTTTAATGGGGCGAAGGGGGAAAGCTGTATTGAAACACATAATTATTTTATTTAAGAAGTCTAAAAATTTAGAGTCAATATCTTCAGAAAGACCATTCCAATCAGTAGTTAGACATAAATTATATGGGCAAATATTTTCCTGTGATAGCTGCATCGATTGTGGGAACCTAACTGCAACAGAAGTAAAATGTATGCAACTCAAAACGAACCGTAAGTTGAAGTTTTTTTGTAAAACCTGTGGTTCAATCCTAGCCGCCATGTTCAATCCAAGTGGGGGGGGGGGGGGGGGGGGTATGCCCAAGATGTCATGCTGTCCCGCCAATTCAGCAATTCATCAAAGGCACTGGGACTGGGGGAAAGAGGGAATGACAAAATAAATTTGACGTTTTCGTTTGACGTTTCAACTTTTTTGTTTGACGTTTCAACGTTTTCGTTTGACGTTTCGGTTTGACGTTTCGACGTTTTCGTTTGACGTTTCAACGTTTTTGTTTGACGTTTCAACGTTTTCGTTTGACGTTTCGACGTTTTCGTTTGACGTTTCGGCGTCAAAGGCTCTGGGACTGGGGGAGTGACAAAATAAGT